AAAAAAAATTCCTTGCTTAGAAGATAGGACAAGTGGTGTAGTGGAGGGAGGGGTCAGGGGGGCTTAGCACCCCTTGTTAAAATTTCATGTTGACTTGGGGGGGGGGGGTGAGCCCCCCTACGTTTTTGGCGCGTTGCATAATCTTAACAACGTCAAAAACACACACAAAAATGTCAGTAAACGAGATGGTTCTTTAGAATTGTATCTCATTTTCAGTCATCATTTAACACAATAATGATTTTTGTAATCTTTATATTGCGTTGTTCATGCGCCGTAGCAAATTGGCTGTTGAAATACCGATCCTGTTTTGTCTGGTTAAACTCTATCCAGGGCCGTATCAACGGAAGAGGCTTGGGGCTGCAGCCCCCCCCCCCTAATAATTTGCTAATAATCATTCTTTTTCCAAAATCATGTCTCCTCTAGCGTTCGTCAGCAGGGTGAAGAGACATTTTGCCTGAGAGAGCAGGCAGCACTCGTTCCTACCGCGGGCAAGGCACAGGTTAGCTCACCGCCCCCCATTGCAAGTATAGGCTGCCAAGATTAGGTCAGTCCCCTCGGCGCATAGACCTATATAAAGTTTACGTCATCACTATACGGTCAGAGGCTCAAACATTGTAGAGTCTTTACCATATGTGCCAAGGACAAATCTGTGGCTACTCGATACATTTAAATAATATACCCTTAAAATACTGACAATTGCTTAATTTTAAGCTGCTACATTATCCATGACAAACTGCAAAGAATGAAGATATTACCCATAATTTCCTGCACTTTATCCAATATATAGTTAACTAAATACGCCTTCGCCCATTTAATACTGACTAAATTGTAAATTTCGACATACTAAAACGCTGTTTTCTGACCATCAGAATTCTGTCAAATCTTCCCCAAAGTCCAGGAAATGGCATTTCAGAGACTCTAAATTTAAAAATTTCCTCGGGCCTTCGGCCCTCGCTTTCAGCCCCTTTGTTTTTAATAAGAATAACGTCGAATGTTTGTCCCACAATTTCTAGAATAAACCCCAACAAAATTTAGAATTTCCAAAATATCTTATTGTACACCCCTCCCGCCAATTCAGGACACTTTGGAGAGCCCCCTTGTTAACATTCCAGGACTACACCACTGATAGGCCTATAAATTTCACTTAAAAAAAATATATTTCCAACCATCAAGTGAGAAAAAAAATATATTTCTTCTATAGGTGTACAAAAAAAAAATATTGCCTCTTAGAAAATCCCCCCCCCCCATCACTTTTCTAATGGTCCGTCCCTTAGCATTGTAGGATTGTACTGAGGTTGATTTAGTAAAAACAAAGTGTAAACAAAAAATCTAAATGACATTGGTCATTGCAGAATATATTTATATAGAAGCTTTAATTAAAGAAATATATGAAATCAGACGAGGACAAATACGAAGTAGCTAAAGTGAGAAATAAATAGAATTATTATATGACAATGACGTGCATGATTTTACCAAATATATAAGGTCGGAGAACGCGAGAAATCTGAGAGCGGATTACACGGTAAAGAGCCGTATTACTCTCGTCTAAACAGGTTTTTCCAGGTTAGGACGGAGCAAATATCCGACTTTTTTAAGTGGAAAACACACTACGGAGAAATACTAGGTCAAAGGCGACTCCTAAATTCTAAAATGTTAACGCTATAAAGCTTTACTAGTAAAACAGAAAACTTGGGAGCAATTTGAGGTATTTATTCAATTTGTTGAGCAAAACAGCAGCAAGCACATTTCAAAAACTAGTTTTTCACATTTTTGAAGTAATTGCACCGTTTGGACGTAAAATATTAGTGGCTGACTGACATGGAGAGTTTTCAGCCTGGGCTGAGTTTCAGCTCGGTTTTCCGGGCTGAAATTTCAGCCCGGGCTAGAATTTTGGTCATGCATGTAATCGCTTGCTGTGTTTTAATAGGATTTTATCCCTAGACCGGACTGAAATTTCAGCCCGGGCTGAAACTCAGCCCAGCAACTCTCTCCTCCGCAGAGGCTTTAGTTTTCTTAGGATTTAATATCACGATGAGATACATTTCACTACACTTTACACGGCGGATCTTGAAACACGAGAGAAGCCGCTGGACGAAGGAACGCAGACGGGAAAGGGCGAAGGCGAGGGAAGGCGCGAAGCCTCTGCACGATGCCACACCCAATATGTAAACCGGGGGAGGATAATTATCAAACGCAAAATTCAAGTCAAAATGGCTGCGAAAACTCTTACTTCAACAAGCTCACAAAGAGAGTATTTAATAGCTGAAATCAAATCAAAGAGAGTATTTAATAGCTGAATCACAATCAAATTCAAGAACGACGACGTCAGTGTCAAATTGTTTCTAATTTGGTATGCAACTTCGTAATCTGATTCATGATGTTTGTTTTCATTGCATCTGAAAATCTAAAATTTTTAGTTAGCCGTTTACGGCGCTATTAACAACTTTATTGGCATGACCTGTACAGGCATTGCTAAAGTATTAAGTAGAATTGCTATTAAGAGCACTGTCTATCTTATTATATATAACAAGAACAAATGTTATGACTACTGTGTAGTTCATATTAAAGTTTCTTAAAAGTATATAATATATAGTATAGACTAAAGAATATATATGTTATAATAATTAAGGAGTATCTCCAGGTTTAATGCATCCGTCTCTAATTATAAGGCAGAAACATTTTGACTACAAAATATAGCTCAATTATAACTAAGTCATTGCATGACATCACATGCGTTAATAAGTTTTGTTTTGAATCCGTTGTAATTTTCACCTGAAAAATATTTTTTAATATATTTTTTGCATTGTTCATTTGTTCCTAATGCTACTATAACTTGGACACTCGAATGCATGCAAAGTGAGATTCGTCTTCAACCGCACCAGTGCCGCAGGTTTTACAATGTCTTTCATCACGAGGTATATTTTGGTAACGACCGTATTCGACTAATAATTTGTACTAATTACTAATTCTGACGGTTTGTGAACATCCGTCTTTGGGATGGATTTTTTATGGTAGTTAAATATTGTTCCAATATATATATTTTTTAAATTTACAGTAAAATGATAGTTTTGTGGAATTGGTTATTTGTTGTTTCCAATGTGAAATATAGTTGTTTTTTATGTTGTCTAATATTATATTTATTTTCTCATTTTCGATAAAATTTCCTAGAAACTAAATATTAAGATTATAGCACTCTGGATATTTAGGGGACAAGGAAACACGGCACATTTTGCAATGGCCGGGCACACGGGAACAAAGCCAATAAAATCACAAGGAAACACTTTACAAACAGTTTAAAATGAACCCCCCCCTCCCAAAGCATGGGAGACCGCAATGATAGCTGCAAAGACATGAAATGTGTATGGTGTCTATATAATAAAACTTGGCACCGTCTACCCCAAAGGTATTAATGAGCGTTTTCCCCGCTATGTTTAGCTTTATCTGCATGTATGCTTGACTTCACTCGACATTGACGTAATATTGTACATATTTCTGCAATGTGATTTCCTTTAATTTGTTTAAAATAAATCCATCAGATTGCTTTGTTTTTTATCACGTGATCGCTTGTAGTATAACAGCACATATTTTTCCCAACCCCACGCTATACTAACTTCCAGATAAAGGCCTTTCGCTCGAAACTTCGAAGTTCGTTTTGTATTTTTCAGGTGGTTGTATTATCTACATGCAGAGGCAGCAATTTTGAAGAAATTAACACCTTGTTTAGTAAATTGTTAGATAAGTTTTCGTCAATTAACGTTCCATGTGTCTTGGTCTTTCATGGATTATTATTATTATAAAAAAACACAATTAATATTTTATAATCACCTTAATACAAGATTAAATTTAAACATCACTAAAGACACTGTGATTAAAACCTAACAGCAAGGCTCACGCCCAATATGGCCAATAGATTAGACTAAATACAACAGTACTATGTTAGAGTTAAACACCAAGGGCGGAGGTATTTAGTCATATACATCCCGAGGGCCGTAGGCCAGAGGGGTGTATATGACTAAATACCGACGCCCGAGGTGTTTAATTTAACTAACTTATTTCATGATCTGGAGGTTTATTCACAAAACAGCTCTTACGCTTGTGGGACGTAACACAAGGTTGAGTATGCGCACTATATACGCTTTAATGTGGTTAAGCATGCGCAGTATATCATTTCACGTCACACAAGCGAAAGAGCAGATGTTACTGTATAAATTCCCTGCACAAGCAAGTTTGATGGTTGATCCAGCTAGTCCTCGTGCCCCGAATGATAGATACTCTTACCTAATGGTAGAGTTTTGACGGGCTCTGAGGTACACGGATGTTGTCTCTTTCCCGACTGGAGACGGTACAGCGTTTATCGAGTTGGGAAAGAGACTAACCTCTCATTAGGTACTTACCCAGATAAGTACATCATGAGTAGAGTTTAAATGAGGTATTTATCTAGATAAATACCTCATTAAACTATTCATGAGGTATATATCTAGTTAAATACCTCATGAATATTAAAATAATGAGGTATTTATCTAGATAAATACCTCATTAAACTATTCATGAGGTATTTAACTACATATACCTCCTCATGTGTGTATTGAGCAATTCAAATTCATACATCAGCCCCACTCTTCCCTGCTGAAAATCAAATCCCTCCCCGGGCTTTCAGATGGACGAGTAATTACGCTAGATACAAGGTCTTGAATAACAAAAGAAAGCGACTCAATCATGAAATAATATATAGTATACCCCAATAAAACGTCAACTGCTTCTTAAATATTTTCTGTCATATAAGTACTTTATCGTTTTAATTTTTTATTTAACTTTTGGTTTGAATTCTACGCAATTGTAGTGTTTAGCACATAAAGAATACATATAGCTAGTTATAGATAAATGTCCAATATAAAGGTATGAACCACGTAATTGTTCAGTATTAATATTCATGATTAGTATGCGGAAGGCCAGTATATAATGTAAACGTTAATTAAACAAATAAGTGTTTGCTAAATAAATTTAAAGACATGCTGTTCCCTTCCTCTGTGCTTTTCCGTTGCAACAAAAAATTTTGCTGGAATAATACACTCTATTGGCACAACAAACTGGTTTGTAACCCGTACGTCCTCTTGGCTTGCCATTGTATCGTCTCTTGCCACAACACATAGTATATTGCTTGTATCGTCTTGACAGCAGGCTTCCATCACAGCAAATGTATCTTTCGTTGTTGAAGCTTTTCTTTCCGCAACACTGTATGGTGTTACCAACATGCCTTCGGCTAATCTCATCACCATCGCAACAAACATGGGTTGTAGGGTTGTAGTAACGGTTCCCGCAACACTGAGTGGTATTACCGTATCTTCTCGGAACAACCATCTGGTTACAACAAAGTGAATCTTGAGGGTTGTAGCTTTCCTTACCGCAACATTCAGTTAGGATACCCGCCATTCTTACCACGGGTTGTCCAGCGCAACACATGGAGGTTGTGGGGTTATAAGACATATCTCCACAACACTGACTAACATTACTTAGTTTCTGAACTATTTTGTCTGCACAACAGATAGAACTGGCGGGATTGTAGCTTTCCTTTCCGCAACACATTGTTAAGTTACCTACGAGGTTTGGCGCCGGCTGTCCGTTACAGCAAACCGAGGTTGTGGGGTCATATGATGTTTCTCCACAACACTGGTTACTGCTATTGACTGGGATATCAACAATTTTTCCTTGGCAGCAAAGGAAAGCTTTTGAGTCGTAGGCTTTTTCGCCACAGCATAGAGTTGAGGTGCCTGCTACTTGATCTACCACTTTGTCAGCACAACAGACAGAAGTATCAGCATTGAAGGTGATTTTTCCACAACACTGAGTTGATAAACCTGATCTTGGCTGAACATATCGCGAACCGCAGCATATATTTGTCTCGGCATTATACGGTCTTCGACCACAACATTGGGTTAGACCAGTACTCTGTATGGGAAATATGATTCCGGAGCAGCAAACTTGAGTTTCGGCGTTGAAGATTTTCTGACCACAACACCCAGAGTAAGGCCCATAAAGTTGCTCGTGCGCATGACCCTCACAGCAGATGTCGTATAGTGGATCCCAAATTTCATTGCCGCAAACTGCTCTTTTCATTCTTTGACGTTTGGCGTTTACTACAGAAAATATAAAAAAGAAGAAATTGAGTTTTTAATTTTTCATAATTGTGCTTAGCCATGAGGCAGATACATTTATCCCGTTCATCATATTTAAGATATTATATAGTATTATTTGGATACTATAGGCATGTGCGCGTGTACTGTAATTGTGTGATGCTATGCCTATACAAATATTATATATTGTGTAATGATATGCTATAGCAAATATTATATCTTTTGCAAGCCATAAAATTTGAAATGTTAACTTTCTTTGGTTATGAAATATATTGGCACCAGTATTGAAACATGTGTGTTGCCATAGCAAACATCAAGAATATTGAACTGAGAATTTCACTGATGTATTGTTGCTCAACAAGAGAATGGATGATTCCAGCTATAGACTAAATTTTGATACAGGCAAGAATCCATCAAATCCATCACCACAGCTAGATAGAGCATCTTAAAATTAGTAAAATTGCAAAGTTTGGTTGCGAAATGTTGTAAGATGAGGAAGATATACCCCAGCGAAATTTTCGAAAATGGATTTCGTTTTTCTTGCCTGGATCAAAATTATAAGTGTATAGCTGGAATCATTCATTGATTAATCAATACTAACAAGCGAAAACTATTTTAATTATTTAGTGAATCATTGGGGCAACTCAGGTTCTATTTTTAGGCCTATCGACATAATGAACGACTGCCATGCGTTTTCAGCCCTTTCTCTTCGCCCTTATCTTTCGGTTTTTATCGAAAACAAAACAGGATCGCAGACAGGATCCCAAACTAGTTGACTACGATTCACTGAACCGCGCCCATGCAATATTATTGTGGTTGTGAATCATAACTTGTTGAAGATAATTGGCATGGTATACAAGCAGGGCCCACCCAAATCTTCACTACATTTTTGGCGTTTCATGATGTTTCAAACTTGCCAGTCTGGCGTTTCGAGTTTCTATATTTCTGATTTGTTTAACACAAATATAACTTAGTAAAACAGGAACTAAATTTCGTAAAAATATTATTCAAACTGTTTGCTTTAAACTGTTTTATTATTAAAAAATAGAACCAAGGTACGTATCAGCATCCAATCAATCAATCAATCAGTCCAGAGGTCGCCGCGAACCTACAGCAAAATTTTTTGTGATTTGTTGATTATAGCCGAGTAAAACTAAAAACTAGATTTTCAAATTAAACAACAAATCACAAACTGGGATCATTTAAGGACGTACAAGTCACAAAACATGGTCATTTTAGTCTCGCATTTCATATCTATAACGCTTTAATAAGTTGTGAGTGTTCATTAAAATTGACAGTCAAATCCGCACTGAGTAGAAAACCGTTGAAATAAGGCTAACGACATATGATCTAAAAAATAAAGTTAGTACAAATTGACCGCAATGCCAGTCAATTAAAAAAGGTTCCTTGCCCTTGGATTAAAATTAAACATATAACATGTTCAGTATTATCACTAGATAGGAAATATTAGGAATTAACGCCTTAATAATACGAGTCACCACTATACCATTTCTACTTTATATAATATACCACTAACAATTTTCGATCCCGTACCTGCAGAGCAGATGATGACAATCAAACACAGCAAAATTACGTTCCTCATCTTGATACGGTGCTCCTCACTTTGTGATGCTAACCTGTGTTGTGATATTTTCCAACATCTCGGCGTGTTATATAAAATAATTTGAATTGTTTCACATTTCTCAATATTATGTTTGGGTAAGTCCTTCAGGTTGTGTAGGTTACGAATTACAACAGGCGAGTTTCCATAGTATTGGACTCCATGGTATACTGTTGTGTATAGCTTGTGCGGTTTATATACACTCACAACAGTCAGATATTACTCATAAACCGGTAAAGAGTTAAAATCATCCTGTGTAAATAAAAATTAATTACGTTAGTCCGCTAATTTGGAAGAGCTTTAATTCAAAATTATATGAAGCCCCTTTACAACTGCTTTCTATTTTTCTTGGTTTTAAAGATATTAAGCAGAGTGTAGTCTGCCATTTCGTTTTTGATATATGACCTAATTCTAGCTTTTCTCACGCCATGTGACCAGGAATCATAAGCCTGATTTTTGGTCAGTATAAAAGATTATTCACAAAACGTGGAGTAACTACTGTATATTGGGAAGTAAGTAGTACTTATAGACAATAGTGCTGTGTTTCACTCCTTCATTAAATCCCTTGCTAATTGTAATTGTCAATAATCCCTTGATAATTGTCTATCATGCAATCAAATAGCAAACAAGGCCTGTGGTTTTACTGATCTCACAACAGGGATAAACCTGTCGAAATTACTATATGTGGTTAACTGCATATATATATATATATATTCAAAGGGAAGTTATTAATATGTTTAGGGCTTATAATAAATTGTGGTTTGCAGGGAAAAAATTATCTTTACTCCCAGTTGTGACGTCACGAATAGTGAACCTGATATGGCGGCTTGCACGCTAGCTGTCATTTCCCATTAAAGAAACTTGAAAATATGTATTGAAAACGCTTTTTTCATGTGTACGGGAGAGCGAAACACACGGTTTTTCTTGTGCACCCTTTAAGGGGCTTGGGTGGCGCAATCGTCGACAGTAAGCGCCTTTCACCTCTGAGATCGGTGGTTCGATTCTCGGGCCTTGTCTGCCATTATTGGTAGACAATTATCAAGGGATTATTGGGTACGATTCTCTCTGTTTCCTCCCACGGGGAATGCTAGGAATGTTTACAGGGTCAGTCACATAGCCAGAGGGGCGGCCTCGGTGCCCCTGTCTCCCCTGGCAAAATATCCCCCCCCCCCCCGATGGAAAAATTCTGACCAGTACAAGCATGTGCATTATATTTCATTTCGTGTAATGGAAATTTTATATCTTTAACTGTTCTGGATTCGTTTTTGATTAACTAGAGTTAAAATCACCAAAACAGATTAAAATAGCCCTCAAAATGCTGAAAATGGCACTTTACCAACTCTAGAATTTATATAAAATTAATTAAAATTTTTCCCCGGGAGCATAATTCCAGACCCCCCTAAAACTTAATTGTATTATATTATGTATGGATATCGTGGGAGTCCAAATACATTTACACATAAAAAAACAAACTTTATTCTTGATAAAGTTGCTAGCATCGAAGAAAAATCCTATTATGGCAGCAGTTCAGTTTGACAGGAGGTGCCAAAAACAAGGAGAAACATTTGACGATTTTGTAACCGACCTGAAATTATTGGCTCGTGGCTTAGACATTGACTGAAACAGACAAGCTAATCAGAAATGCTATAGCATGCAAATCTTTTGACGAAAGGGTAAAACAACGGTGTTTGGAAAAGAGTAAAAACTTAACATTAGAAACAGCCATAAATATAGGGAGATTATTTGAAGCTACCAAAGATGGAATGCAAGTAATTACAGGTGCATGGAGTATCAACAAAGCCCAACAGATTTCCCAGACGCAAGCATCAAATGAGGTTAAATACACCTAGATCCACTGAAAAAGAGTCACAAGCCCCATTGAAGTGTCAAAGATGTGGTTACAATAGTCACAAACCACAAGAGAAATGTCCAGCCAAGAACCAAACCTGCCGCAAGTGTGGAAAGATGGGACACTTTAGTAGAGTGTGTAGAGGAGCAGAAAAGAAAATACACGGCATGGGTAAAGATTCCTACTCTAGTGAAGAAACGGATAGTTCTGATGATGAATACCAGCAAGCCAAAAATTTGCATTTACTGCACCTCAAAAGCCTGAAGATCCATGAGGTTGACAACGAAGACGACATGCCGAGGGATGCCAACTGGACACAGGTGCGCAGGCTAGTGTCATGACCGCTAAGCAATTACAAAATGTTGCTCCCGATGCACAGATCAAGAAAACACACAAGAGACTTGTGTCATATAGCCAACACCAGATCGTGCCCAGAGGATGCACCACACTTAAAGTGAAACACAAGGAAAAAGAGATCAAGGTGAAAGTCTTCATCATTGACAAGGCACATAATCCAATCTTATCTGGAAAAGTGTGCAAGGCCTTAAACCTAGTAAAGCGAATACACGAAACCTTATAGAGCTTCTTATCCAACATCCAGATTTGGAAAATGCAACAGGATCGATGCCAGGAACATACTCGATTAAGATTGATCCAACAGTGACCCCTGTAGTACATGGTCCAAGAAGGCAACCCACAGCGTTCCTACCAAAGATTACGAGCAAGCTAAAAGAAATGGAAAAAGAGGGGGCATTTAGCAAAAGTAATCCAGCCCACAGATTGGGTTAATTCCATGATTGTCGCACAGAAAGGAGAGAAGATCCGCATCTGAATCGACCCATCCGACCTGAACAAAGCGATAAAGCGAGAACACTACCCTAGTAAAACAGTGGAAGAAATTACCACGAAAATCCCCGGAGCCAAAGTGTTCTCAGTATTGGATGCCAAGAGTGGATATCTTCAAATGAAGATCGATTATGAATCCAGTCTCCTTACAACGATGGACACACCGTTAGGTCGATACCGTTGGTTAAAGCTACCTTTGGCATCAAATCCGCAGCAGATATGTACCAGAGAGCAATGGATGACATGTTAGAGAGGATAGAATATGCACATGCCATTATATGGATGCTATTCTGATAGCTGGCCGTGACGTAGCGCATCATGATGCTGTCTTACGACAAGTCCTTGATCGTGCTCAGAGCTACAACTTGAAGTTAAACTTCGACAAGGTGAAAATCAGGAAAGAAGAAGTGCCATATGTGGGGCATCTCATATCAGCACATGGGCTCAAACCGGATCCCACGAAAGTCGAAGCGATGAAAAACATGCCAGCACCCGAGAAAAAAGATGATGTCCGCCGTTTTCTGGGATCAGTTCAATACCTGGCCAAGTTCTTGCCAGACTTGGCTGAGGTAGAAGAGCCACTACGGCACCTAACGTTAACAAAGAAAGATACAGTCTTCCACTGGGACAAACCACAGGAAAACGCTTTTCAACGCATCAAAGATCTATGCTGCACAGCACCTATACTGGCCTACTATGATGTCAAGAAGGATGTCAAGATACAGTGTGACGCTAGCAAGAATGCAGTCGGCGCTGTCCTTCTACAAGAAGGCAAACCCATAGCGTATACATCCCAAAAGCTTCGTACATCCGAGCTAAACTGGTCACCTATTGAGAAAGAATTGTTGGTGATTGTGTTCAGCACAGAAAAATTCAGAGAATACATCCTAGGAAAGGAAACTGTAGTACAGACTGATCACAAGCCATTAGACAATTTTTCGCAAACCTTTGCTGTCAGCAGACCATGATGTTGAAAGTGAAAGTGAAAGGATATGACTTGAAAGTTGAATATCTTCCTGGCAAGAAGCAAGTCATCGCAGATACGCTCAGCAGGGCCAGTCTTGATGCTATGCCACCCGAAAGAAAGGAGTTTCAAGTCAACATGCTTGAGAGAATATCTGTCACGCAAGACAAATACCAGGAACTGCTACAAAGAACTGCGAATTGAGCTACACGATTTGTATGCTGTCATCCAGGTAGGCCCACTACAATTAAAGCAGCAAGTGCCTCACAGCGTCAAACCATTCTGGGACAATCAAGATGAATTAGCAATATTGGATGGCGTAATTTACCGAGGAATGAGAATCGTAGTACCATCATCAATGCAACGGGAAATGATAGAGCTGGTGCACAAGACTCACCAAGGAATTGTGAAATCCAAGCAGAGAGCACGAGAAGCGCTGTATTGGCCGGGCATGAGTTCTCAAGTCGAAGCGAAAGTGAAGGACTGCAGTATTTGTCATGGCTATGCAGCAGCGCAACAGAAAGAACCGATGATGCCGAGCAAGACTCCAGACTATCCATGGGCCGAAGCAGCATCTGACATATTTACGTTCAAGAGCAAAAACTATGAAGTCACAGAACTAAACGACCTCTCAGCTTTTAGTACCATCGAAGCCCTAAAAGGACATTTTGAGAGACATGGTATTCCAGAAATATTCCAGAAAGGCTGACGACAGGGCCAGTATACAAGCGTAGAGTTTAAGAATTTCGCAAAAGCCTACAACTTCCAACACGTGTTGATAAGTCCAAAATATCCTAAAGCAAACGGAGAAGCAGAGGCGGCGGTAAAATTCGTTAAATCATTGTGGAGAAAGAACAATGACAAGCACAAAGCCCTGTTGGTATATCGAGCAACACCACTAGTAGGCATTGATCTGTCACCATCACAGCTATGTGTGGGGAGAAGACTGAGAACCAACCTTCCGATATCACGCAGTTTGTTAGAGCCCGAAGCATATAACACAAATGATATCAAGAGACGAATGCGCCATGTAAAGGAAAAGCAAACCTACTACCATAACCGCCATGGGACAAAAGAACTATCCCCACTGAAACCTGGTGAACACGTAAGAATCCGTCCAGAACCAGGGTCGAAGCTATGGAGACAAGCAACTGTGGTCGACCATCATTCATCACCTCGGTCGTATATTGTAGATACAGGACAACAAAAGCTTAGGCGCAACCGAGTAGCCTTAAAATTAGACCCAGGAAGATCAACAGTGGAAGTAACAGAGAATGATTACGTTACCAACGACGATATGAGCCACCACGAAACCCTTGATAACCCAAACCCGGCAAGCGTACCACCAGCTCATCACCCATCAGTAGAAACAGCAACGTCCACGGTGAAAGACAAGGAAACGCCTGTCCAGAGATCAGGGTCAGAAACTCACTAAAGACACTACATTATGAGAAGTGGAAGAATCAGCAGAAAACTAGCTAAGTTGAACATTTAATATATGAATGACATTATTCATTACTTAGAGACTTATAGACTTTTAAAGACCCATAAAGGCTTTTAGTTTTCAGGACATTTACTTTAAAGAACTCTTAGTTTCGTATTTTGTTTAGTTATCATTTGTTGACGTTGGAAGGTGAAGGCTATTTCAGATACGGTAGAGCACCTAGTCCCCAGGCCTTTACCAGCGCGACCGCGAAATTCAATATGGCGCCAAGCTAAGGAGTGGAGTTTAAATGGAGTTTATATT